CGATTGAGAAATATAATAAAATATAAAATTAAAAAAAATATATAAATACATATTTAACCTCGTAAGGTCCCGTGTACATCATAATGTATATATAATATAATCTCTTTCACTAGACTTGTTTTGGGCCTATAGTAAGTGGTTATGTTTAATACATTTTAATGTACATTGCGCGTTTAGCGCTTTTCGCATTGTAGTTACTGAGTCAGAGGAGGTTAATAGTAATAATTCAGTGCCAGACAATCACCTAATTACCTGGTCCTAAACAGGGATGTATTTTCCAGAACAGCCTTACCAGAACCACTTTAGAATAGTTCATTTAACAAAGTCGTCATCCCGAGAACTGAACTTCTTCTGAATCTTTTCATCTAGCGACCACATTGTAAACCATTAAGCCACCGAGGTCGTCTATACACTAGTGCGTATCCTTGATCGAGTTTATTATGACATACGAATTTTGACCGAACAGAGGAATACGAAAGACTTTAAAATCGTTTTCGCCCTAGTGCTGTATTTTAGCAAACACTAAGCCATCCAGACATTTGATGAAATTCCCAGACTTGAATAATTCACCAGCTGCTCTAACATATTATACAGTCACATATCATGGTATCGAGATTAATAGAGCTATCCACAAAATTGTTACCAATGTACTCGTAATAGTGTGTTAATTGGAATATCACGTGAAATATTTGGACCGGCAGATTTTGGCACATTAAAGATAATGAGCGGTGTCACGGCATGGCCGCGTCATCGTTACCGCGGTAATGGTCACTTTTACGATCGCATGAAAGAAGAGACACTTTTTCACCCATAAACTGTGCGTGCGGAATCGCTTCTTAGACAATATTATATCCTCGTAAATTGTCTTCTTTGCCCGAGTTGTAAATAACAGTACGAAAGCACGGATATTGAAGTATAAAAATGACTTTAACAATATTCTGTTGTAAGGGTATTTATTAACTTAAATGTTGCGTGTAGCCGTTTTGCACGACATACCTTTTTTTACAACCACAAATTACATCCAAATTCACGAGAGAAATAATCAAAGGCCATACAAATATTTCTCCCAGGCTAGGAATCGAACCCAGGACTTCTGCGTGGCATTCCAGTATGGTAACCGTTCAGCCACAGAGGCAGTTATAATAAGACCACAGAGGTACCTACTTGTACTATCTATATAGCGCTAATAAACATTCTCCTTTAAGAATCTTTTACAGAAAAGCCTCTTAAAAAGCATTAATTATGTAGACTATGGAAATTTGTTTGTTAACAAAAAGAAGATGAGGATTTACACACATTACCAAAAAATGTTTACATTAAACCGATGTGTACTGTGTTCGTATTTAATTAATGGTATTTGGAGTAAAAGTATCTGTACGAGCTGCTTGTCTCGTACAGTAATATGTCAGAATATGTCAGGTGATATCAGCGAGATGATGCAGGGAGATGTCAAAGATGCTGTAGAAATAATACTCGACCGATACCACGGAGTAACTTTATTGTACTGAAAATTATAATTTATACATATTGCACGTGCACAATGTAGGGTGCGACGTTGCATATTGTCAGTTGCACAATAATGTACGTTGACCCGTACATACTCCCGACACACAAGGAAGAAATAAAGTAAAAATGTCATTAAAAATTGTAAATATGCAAAATATAAATCCTATAAATTAACAATGTAAAATTTTTAAATATTTCAACTTAAAATATAAAAACTGTTCTTAAATATTTCACTTACATGTCACTATAAATTGTCAACTTAAAAATTTAATATAAAAACAAATTAAGAGCAACAAAAATATTAATTAACTAGGTTTGTAGAATTATTTAAATCGAAGTGAATTTTCTTCGGCATCGTTGGCGAGGTACCGGTGTCCACACTCGCCATGGAACCTCTCAATGCGCTAGTCATTCTTCCGGACGGCAACATAGAGCGTGGCGCAGTGACTATTACGTCAGTGAGTGACGTCTCATCCATCGCAGAGAGATGGGTAGAACTATGTTGCGCGGGCGCTCTTTCTTGCAGGTTGCATCGCTTAGATTTTATGTAGCATCCTAAGATCCCAAGTAATGATAATACTAGTCCAATGATGCTTGTGTAGATAATAATGTAGTGCGTGTTATTGCTGTTGGTAAACTGTTCTAGTTGTTGTTGCTTCATGATGTCAATCTTCTGTTGGATTTCTTCAAATGTTTTTTCATGGTTTTCAGGAACAAAATTGTCAGGTAATGATATATTCATGATTTCGTTCAATGATAACTGAGTGTCTTGCATGTCAAGGGCAACAGTGGGACGTATATTTACTTGATTGATATAATCATGCTGAGAATATATCAAAAACTTATCTCCTTTAATCACACATCCCGGTTCCGGGCTTAATAGTCCATTGCCTCGTAATTGTTTAGTTGTTATTTCCGACGAACATATGATTCGAACGCGGCATTCGATGCAACATGAGTATAGCCATGTGTCGCGTGCGTGCAATTTGATCCACCTATCAGCACATTTCTTTGCGACAGGTGTGCAATATGGTTTGTTTTCATTATTTATTTGCATTTGTAAATCGCACAGGGATTGCCCCATGGTCATTGAATATATGGGCTGATTCACCGGGCAAAACATCTGTTGATCAGTGTGATGGATGCAGTGTTGCATGTCATTTTCTGTCATAGGTATTAGCGTATCTTTTTTAACATTCACCGCTAAATATTTTGTTGCGGTGGTTGTATAAACAACGCTTCCCTGTTTTCTTTGAGGCATGTCAATAATCTTGTTTAACTCGAAGGAATCGCGGTTTAAAAGAGGTATATTTATTTCGATGATCAGTAAGTTTCTAGTCACTCTTGCTTTCACGTGCAGGAGACCATATAAATCTCGTATATTGTCAGTTGGCAAGACTAGGTCACTTTGCAATTGTGCTGATATGGTGTTTAACTCTTGTTGTAGTTGCTCTGGTTCCAACATATGAATATTCAGACGACTATGGTAAATGTCAGTAACCATTTCTAATAATGAATCTTGAATTCGGCGAATGTTAGTCAATATAACATTAACTGATATCAATGATGACATAATATGAAATGCTTGTAAAGTATTTTGGTTCGCCTTTTGTATTCCATTCATTTCGGAAGTTATAACTTTCAGATGCTTGTAGATATAATCGAATTGGGTGTTCATTAACTGTTCGTTTCGTTTGAGTATGTTGTTCTGAGCTTCGACTAACGAAGTTTGATTTTTGAACAGAGTGAGTAAATGATCTTCTCTCCGACGTACAGTTTCAATGTCTTTTTCATATTTTTGAGCAAAATTGTCATCCAATACTCCAAATAAAGCGTTTGCTAAATTTCCAACTCCATTGAAGAATCCTCTCTTTTTTCTACGTGAAAGATGTTCATAGTTTGTCAATAATTCATTATAGTGACGTATTTCGCTGAGTTCATGATTGAATTGCGCAATTACAGGTGAACACGAGCTGTCATGATTGCAGTTTGCGGTCACTGTTTTAATATAGTTTTTCACTGCTGTCATGCTTTCCCAATATGTACTCATATTATAATACACAACCATCTTCCAGTGATCCTGGATAATACGGGTATCTGCAATCTTGTCAAAATACAGGGTGTTGTTATTGTCAAGACTCTTTATGGTTGTCATTCTTCCTTGTATAGGAGTAAAAAATGTCAGTAAAATTGTCATTGTCATGAGAAGTAAGTTGCACATGCGATTGTTCTTCTTTATACATCTGGTGGAGCCTGGTTGTGGTTTGTCAATGTCTGATTGAGTATTGACCGGCAGTGGTACAAGTTTAATAATTGGCCGTTTAAGATGACCGCCTTTCGTTTTCAGGGTTACTACCCTAACGTGTCCGTCTGTGCCGGGGTGTACTTCTGTCACTCGTCCTAACGCCCATTTTGTTGGTGGCATATTTTCTTCTTTTATTAGAACAATGTCATTAATCTTCAAATTGCACTTTGGATAATTCCATTTGTATCTTTTTTGAAGATGTTGCAGATAATCTGATGACCATTTCTTCCAAAAGTCGCGATTCATTCTTTCTATCAGTTGCCATCTTGTTTTTATGCACTTGTCATTTATGTCTGTCATGGGAGGTGACAATAGTGGACCTCCAACCAGGAAATGCCCTGGGGTTAAGTAATCGTCTTCTGGATTCTCTGTTAACGCATACAGCGGCCTGGAATTGAGGCATGCTTCAATTTGAGTCAGTAACGTAGAAAATTCCTCGTATGTCAGCTTTTGTTCACCTAATACACGTTTCAGATGATGTTTAGTGCTCTTGACTGCTGCTTCCCAGAGACCACCAGCACTAGGCCATACTGGAGCATTTAAGTGCCAAGTAACACCCATGGTAGATATGTCAGCCAGGAATTCTTTAGTGATAGTTTGTAGAACCTCTTTGTATTCTATCTTTAAAGCTCGTGATGCACCAACGAAATTAGTGCCGTTATCACTATATACGTGCTTTGGTGTACCTCTTCTCGCACACATCCGCTTGAAGGCGGCAAGGAATGCAGGTGTGCTAAGGTCGGATACTAGCTCTAAGTGTATTGCCTTGGTTGCAAAACATACAAAAACTGCGATGTAGCCTCGGGTAGTCTTAATTCCTCGTCCTTTATTTGCTTTCAATTCTACTTGTCCCGTGAAGTCAACTCCGGCGTGTGTGAAAGGCCGGGAGGGCGTCACTCTTGGTTCTGGTAAGTCTGCCATCAGTTGGGACTGGGTACGATGATTAAATCGAGTACATCTGACACAGTTTCTTATGTATTTCTTAACTGTGCGACTTCCTCCTAACACCCAGTAATTTTGCCTCAAACATGTCAAAGTAAGTGTAGGACCACCATGTAGCGTCTTTAAATGAGCTTGATTTATCAATAATTCTGTCAATCTGGAATCCTTGGGTATAATTATAGGATACTTTGTGTTCTCGTTGAGTTTTGAATGACGTAGACGTCCTCCCACCCGCAACAGATTATTTTCATCCAAAAAAGGGTTGCAATTGTAGTAAATTACTTTTCGCCATGACAACACCTTTTCTTTTTAATTCCGAAATATCCGATCGGAACTCTTTAGTTTGTATCACACGAATTACTATTATCAATGCATTATTTATTTCACTCGCTGTTATGTAATTCGTATTGTCAGGTGCATCGCGGCTAATGCCCTCGGTGTCATGTTGCGGTCTTGACGATTGTAATCGCGACGACACGCGGTGACGCACAATGTTTATGAAACGTGAGATTCGGGCAATCACTCTTACTATATGCATAATCGAGTGATGTTTATGTAATAATTCTTCAATAATGTCAGTAGTTTCGACCATTGTCGCGCATATTTGGGGCTCGTTTTTCATCTCAATCTGAGGCATGTCAATCGTATGAGTGTCATTTTTGGAAATTGGTTTCTTGATCCACGCAGGTCCTTCCCACCAGAGCGTATGTTCTGTCAACTGAGAAGTGGTAAGGCCTCGAGTTGCGCAATCAGCTGCATTGTCATTTGAGCTCACATGTCGCCAGCACGAAACTGGCATAATGTCAAGGATTTCTTTTGTACGGTTAGCAACAAACGCCTTCCAACGAGACGGCTGTCCTTGAAGCCAACCCAGTACGACTAAGGAATCCGTCCATCCGTATATTGGAATGTCAGTGTGTGGAAACGCTTTCAAAACTTTCTGCATTAGTTTTGATAACAGGAGAGCGCCACACAGTTCTAATCGTGGTAATGTCAAAGTATTCTTTCGTGGTGCAAGTTTTGTTTTAGAGCAGAATATTCTAACAATTGATTCGTTCATGTCATTTGTGGTTTTTATGTAAATCACTGCTGCGTAAGCTTGTTCGGACGCATCACAGAATCCGTGTATCTCTATTGATGCGTGAATATTACCAATCCATCTTGGGATTTGAAATTTGTCAACATTCTGCAAGTCATCACTGAGTTTGTTCCATTTTTTCAAAATGTCACATGGAACTTCATCATCCCACTCCATTGTCACTAACCAAAGTTTTTGGAATAATAATTTGGCTCTTATTGAGAGTGGAGATAGCCACCCCAATGGGTCAAATATTTTGGAGATTTGTGATAAAAGTGTTCGCTTGGTTGTCTTTGTTTTGTTATTGTCAATTGGACGGAAAGTAAACATGTCAGTGGCGGGGCTCCATTGTAACCCGAGCGCCTTCGTTGAGTTTGCATTTTTAAAATCCATTGTTGTCGGGTTGATTTGATCAGCTGATAGTTCCGACAACAGTTCTGCACAGTTACTTGACCATTTTCTCAAGTTTATTTTCGCACCTTGGAACATTTTTATTAATTGTTGTTGAACTTCTTTTGCATCCGAGAGAGAGTGGTTCCCTCCGAGCAAATCGTCGACATAAAACTGGCGTTGCAACACTTCAGCAGCCAATGGGTATTTCTCTTTGTCATCACTTGCTAATTGTTGCATAGTGCGCATAGCTAAGAACGGCGCAGCTTTCATGCCATATGTAATTGTACATAATTGATATTCTTTCAGCCTGTCTTGTGGATTATCTCTCCAGAAGATTTTTTGCAAATGTTGCTGATCTTCTTGTAGAAGTATACACCTATACATTTTTTCACAGTCTGCAGTGTATACGTATTGGTAAATACGCCATCTAAGTAAAAGATCTTGTATGTCTTTCTGTAGTTTTGGGCCACACTCCATGAGATCATTGAGGCTTTTTCCCGTAGATGTTGGCGAGGAAGCATTAAAAACTGCACGAAGTTTAGTAGTGGTAGACTCCTCTCGATATACACCATGATGTGGCAAGTAACACATAGGCTCTTTGCGCTCCTTGCATTCTATCATGTGCCCTAAATCTTCGTATTCGTGCATAAATTTTTGATAGCTGTCACGCAGATGTGGCTTTTTCATTAGACGTGATTCCAACTGTTTAAATTGTGCTACTGCCCGGGCTTTAGATTGGCCGAGCTCATTTTCAAAATTATTCTTTAAGGGCAGACGGACTTCGTATCTTCCATCTGGTAGACGCCTTGTGGTATTGACGTATAATTCTTCGCAAAACTGCTCTTCTCTAGTCATTGTGATAGAGGCATTCGCTATTTCTTCCACCTCCCAATATGCAGAGATATCTTCAATGTTATTGATCACGACGCTGCATTGAAGCGGTGACTGTACTGGTCCAGACAAAATCCACCCTAATTTTGTCTGTTGAGCGATTGGCTGATTTTCAGATCCTTTGATCAACCCGCTCATTATTATTCGGGAGTAAATGTTTGCACCTAGCAAAATGTCAATTTGTTTTGAAACGTTATAGCTAGGATCGGCGAGCTGTATATGTTCGATATGATGATAATTTTTCTTAAATGTTGAATGAGGTAAATTGTTTATAAGTTTTGTCAATATCATTGCTTCCGCAGTAAAATTATAATTGTCATGAATAGACATGCAGTGCAGTTGTATTTTTCCTTTGCCTTTTTTTCGCCGAATCACCCACTCCTAATATTGCTGTGTTCACATGTTGACGGGGAAGGCCAAGGCGCTGAGCGGCATTTTCAGTTATAAGGGTGGCTTGTGAACCCTGATCTAAAAGTGCTCTCAATTTTATGTATGTATTGTCTATAGCACGTACTTGAATCTGCACGGTAGCCAGTAAAATTTCGTCATTTTTATTTGTCACGTTGTTTGCCATGCGCTGATGTTGAGGTTTTGGTGGCGAAGTCCATCCGTTCGTTTTTGTGTCATGCATCGCATCATGCAGCAAAGTATTGTGCAATCCATTGCACGTTTTGCATCGCTTATTTGATCGACATACATTCCGCTCGTGGAAGTATAAACAATTTTTACATATTTGATTTTTTGTTATTACTTGCAGTTTAGCGTCAGAAGCTAAATTTTCAAATTTATGGCATTGATATAACATATGATCATTGCTGTTGCATAAAATACAGCGTGGCTTGGCTGTAGTTGTATTCATAGCCTTCATATAATATGACGATCTATTGCCATTGTATGTCAGTTTTTCTTTCGCGTTATGTGGCGTTGATAGCTTCGGCGACAACCAGTCATCTCTTTCTTTTTTCTGTATGGGCTCAAGTGCTATAAATTTGGTTTCTAAAAATGAAGTAAATTCCTCCAATTCGGGAAGATCACGGGGCGCCTTCCGCGACTCTTTGTATTCACTTCTCGTTACAGGATCCAATTTCTTCAGCAATAGATGAACAATAAGGGGATCCCATGAAGCAGTATCCACGCCCAAATTGTGGATAGCATGGATACACTCCACGGTAGTGTCATGCAGGCGCTTAAGCTCAGATGATGATTGTTTGTCGACGTTGCGTTGGTTAAGAAATACTTCTACTTGTTTCGTAAATAGTAATTGAATATTATTATAGCGATGGTATAATAATTCCCAGGCTGTTATATAATTATCTGCCGATACATTTAAATGCTGAATGAGACGTTGTGCTTCGCCTCTCAACTTTCCCTTCAAATGCTGCATTTTCTGTGCGTTTGTCAAGGAAGGGTTGTCATGTATACTGCTTTTGTACAGGTCCAGGAACGTAGGCCATTGTGTATAGTCCCCATGGAACGGTGGAACTTCTAATTTTGGCGTAGATTCGAATTGATGCACAGTTGATAAAATTTTCTTATTTAAAAGCCGTTTCATGTCCTTGTAATTCTTCTCAAAAGCAGAATATTCTTCTTCATATTTCTTATCTCCGTCGCTTGATACGCTGTCAATTTTTAAATGCAATTTGTCAATATTCTCCCACCGTGATTGTAAACTTTTTAATTCATCCTCCAGTTCCCATTTTTCTGTTATTTTGTCAATGTCAATATTATTTATTTGGCGTAGTAATGCACGAAAATTGGACTTCTGCTCACTTTTCAACTCGTCTGCTGCTAGCTTTACACCTGCCCCTTCCATGTTGGGAAAGTAGTTCATAAGCAGGTTGCGTATTGTGTCATAAAGATTTTTTGTGTCATTGTAGATATTCTTTACATAGTAATCATGTGTTTTTTCATATTCAGAGCAAGAAAGTTGAGCATTGTTGCTGTCAAATTCTGCCCATAAACTGTCAAGGGCGATTACCCTTTTTTGTAGGTAATCTTCCGTCTTTCTCGAGGACGAATCCTTATTAAAATTCCTGTGAATTGTTCTGATAGATTCTATTATCTCCTTTTGACGAGCAAGAAGTTCTTCCATTGTTGCACTGGGTGTATACTGTCAACGATAATGTCAATAAAATGCAGATTAAATCGTTGTTGTTACGGCGATGTCAATTTTCACTGTAATATATTTATGTCAATAAAATGAAGATTAAATCTTGTAAATGTACTGCCACTTATGTCGTGACGATATGCAATGAACGTCTATTCGTTCTTACCGCTGCTGTTACGGTGATGTCACTTTACACTGCAATATATTTACGCACTCACAAATGTCACTGTTTTGTATAAAATGTCACTGTTTTATATAAATGTCACTATGAATTATTGAATTTATGTCAAAATTGTCAAGAATCCATATGCCGATTTTCTTTAGCGATTTTGCACTCTTCGCACGATCGTTGACCGCTCGTCTCAACTTAACTGGTGAGACCCGCTTCTGGGAGGCCAGTTAAGCCGATGCGCTAATCGTACTCTAAGATACAAAACTCACCAAAGAATCAAAACTCGAAGGACGAACATATGAATCCGGCTCGAAGGACCAACATGTACGAGCTGCTTGTCTCGTACAGTAATATGTCAGAATATGTCAGGTGATATCAGCGAGATGATGCAGGGAGATGTCAAAGATGCTGTAGAAATAATACTCGACCGATACCACGGAGTAACTTTATTGTACTGAAAATTATAATTTATACATATTGCACGTGCACAATGTAGGGTGCGACGTTGCATATTGTCAGTTGCACAATAATGTACGTTGACCCGTACAGTATCAATAAATGGATACTCATTCTTCAGCACAATTATCTATTTATTAAGGTCGGTCTTTATATAATTTATTTTAAATTTAAATTTGAATAATTACAGAACAAGAATGGAATTCCAAAAAGTGCCTCTGTGTCGAATGTGTTTTTGCCAGTTACTGAAATTGTTTTTCTTCCACTCAAGACTCGAATATCCACCGAAAAAATCAACGGCGTCGAAACAAAATGTTTTAAAGCAATTATGTTATTTATTATTTAGCTTTAATTTATTTAATCAATGTTTCAATTCTTATTTTGAAATATCTTAATAGGGAAGTAAAATTAAACTTGAAATCATCAAATTGCAAAATACAACTTATTCGTAAGGCAAATTAGTCATCAGAAGTAAAATTAAAGTTTCTCAAAAATTAAAAGTTGTTCTTTGTAAATACACATTTGTTCACTTTTATGACTTAAAATAAATATTAGCTTTTTCTAATATGAAATAGACATACATTCGCATGGTCATATTTAGATTATAGGATTATATGTAGAAATAACTTGAAAATCTTTAACGGAACTCTCATATTCTTTGTCATCTAGGTACACAAAAGCCATAAAAAGTTTTTCTTTTACTATTAGTGAAACAAAATTGTTCATATTTAATGCATTATTAATCCGTTATTACTGTAAAACTGTGAAAATACCTAGTTTGTTATAATTATTAATGCACAAGCGTAATGGCAAGCCGTTACCATGCTGATCTGCCACATAGAGACCCCGGGTTCGATTCCCGGGCCGGGAGAAATATTTATATAGCCTACATTTATTGTTCTCGTGAGTTTTGGAAGCAATTTGAGGTTATCTATGTGTGTGTTCTATGGTACCCGTGATATAGGAGTTCCCTAGTACAGGACAGTGAGTGGTATTATTATTATACTGAAAAATATACAAAGTTATACTTAAGTATGTATAAATACATTTTGGGAGGTTTCCGAGATTTCATTACGTTCTATAAGTCCAAAGTAGTTTTAGAGTAACAATTTTTAGGAAATAAGCTGGAAAATTTGATAAATAACACGAAATTCGTTACATTTTATTGAAATTTATCTACCGAAACGTTTAGGTATATAATAAAAGTAATGGTGTTTCATTATTAAGATATTATATATTTTACTAGCAATATTAATTGAGTTGCTACGTCATAATAAATTCGTAAAAGTTTAGAGAACCCATGCAAATATTCTACCCAACGGTCCTGGCTAGAAAGCGGTGATTGAAAGTTTGATTAAATTATTCCACAAAACCTCAATCGAAAAAGTAACAGAGTGCTCTACAACATTCGTAATATCAAAGTAATAGATACTACGGCGTAGCACTTCCACTACGCAAACCGGGATGCGTCTGGTTATGGTCGGGGGGCATACATAGTATGTGTTCACGTGTCATATCTCAGTTAAATAAGAAAGCTTGTGTCAGGTCGCTCTGCTAGTGATGGGCGGATAGGGTAAGATTTGCATGCGAGTTATCCACACAGTGCCCGTTTGCAGTCAGCTGCAGGTCGCCGTATGATCCGAGCAGGTGGCGCACGCTATAATTCGATATGGCGGCACTTAACCTCGGGTTCGGATCCACGTCTGGGGCTAGCTTCATCTTAAGAGACAAAGCTTTGCTTTTATGTTTGTTTGACAATTTTGATTAGCATTTTTACCTAATCACGTTTGTAAACTCAGTTTGAATACAATGCGAAAAGAGTAAGCCACTAGCGTCATAAGATTGATGATTAGGTTAAAATAAAATATGTCAATTGTCGGTGTGACAGCTAAGTCCTTATATGAATGGGTTTTATTTCTTTTGTCCTTGCTGTCACCACTATCTACCTACGCGAGTCCGATTACGAAATTTACGACAGCTCGCCGCAAACGACCCTTCCACCAGAATTATTGCTTGCCTATCCCATTTTTTGCGGTTCTCGCCAAGAAGGAAACAAAAGGATTTTTTTCTCTCGTCAGTTAAGATTGTACTTTTTTGTCATTACATACATGGACTACTTTTAAAGTCCCGACGAAAAAAGCGGGATAATATTATGTCCTTGAAAGTGTGTATGTATCTGTGTATGTGTGTGTATTTGTGAAATAGAGAGAGGGACAGAGAGAGAGAAAGAGTATTTGTCCGTCGTAGTCATTTGTTACGATCGAAATGTAGTTTATTTTAATTGAAAGTTGAGTGCTTTGAAATGGCTCTTAGCTATATTTGCTGGTAATCGATAAAACAGTCCTTATAAGATTCTTCAGCTTGCAATTGTCTTCGTAATGGAATCTGAGGCGCTGTCATATC